AGTCCTGGTACAGACCCCAGAGCTAACATTAGCTCCAACAGTCCTGGTACAGACACCAGAGCTAACGTTAGCCACAACAGTCCTGGTACAGACACCAGAGCTAACATTAGCCACAACAGTCCTGGTACAGACACCAGAGCTAAAACATTAAAATTATGTTGCAGAAGTAACCTGAATTTCAGTTGAACTGCTCATGTTAATGGAGTGTATTGTTACAATTACACACACAGGAAGCAGGCGGATTTGCAACGCATTACTGGGCAATTCCCTGGAGAAAAGGGCTTTTGAGTTTGTAACAATCACCTGACCCACGTCACTAAAAGTGTTGCTACAACCAGACTGATGGATCATGTGTGATAAGTGCTGTTCAAATCAACTAGACTTAAGGTTCCCAAAGTGGGGGTGGGGGGCTTGCAGGTGGGGCAAGTTATTTTTATGCTTATATGTCTGTGTATGTAGCTCCGTGTCCTTTCTGATCTAACTGTGAAACTCTTTAAAAAATTTACTGAAAAATGCTATACAAAATAAACTTTATGTACATACCTTACTTGTGTGTATTTCACCTGTTGTATGTTAAAACCTAATTGACACATGATCACAGTTGACTGTTGTTATATGTGTATAACTGAGCATGTGAGAAGAAAAACTCTAAAGAAAAATCAGCAGAAAGCCACTGCACACTACCTAAAGTTTACCTAAAGTAAAAGAAAAAGAGTAAATACTCTAATGAACACTAGGTCAAATTCATTCAGTCAAATTCATAGTGACAAATATGTGCGGCTGAATCAGGAGAGAGTGACTGCTGGCCGTTTAAATAAACTTCATCTTGTCTCCGTCTTCTGTCCCCATCACCTCTTATCCTGGCAGAACAAAGGGCGGGAGCCTCCTAAATATGGCACATTAGCCTTTTAGTTCCAGAGGGGGTAAGGTGACACCCTCCATGTATGTGGTCTGTTCAGCACACATCTGTCAGGGCCTGAGGGGTGGGCTTTGGTAGGGAGGGGGCAGCGGGAATGGGAAGCACAAGGCGGCAGGGTAAAGACGCCGTAAGCCTGAAAGAAAGGTTCTGTATGAGTGTGTGTCTTCAGGACCCCCCGCTGCACCACTGAAGACTAAGACCCTGATAAACTCAGTGTGATGCTGCTGATAAACCTGGCTGCTCACAACACTCTCTGCCTTTTTGTGTCTGCTACTAAATCAGAGCCCAGACACAGACAAGGAAAACTATAAACAAAAGGTAAACACATGGTCACACACAGAGGGGAGTCAGACAACCGGGTGTACAGTATCAGGTAAAAGAAAAACATCTACTCTTGCAATTTCTAGCCATGAAAAAGATTCACAGGATGCATTGAGTGGCACTATAGATGTTGGTGAAAAGTGATGAAAGAGACTAACCTTTGCCAATGTGTCTCAAAGATACAAAAAGTTGAAATTAATTTGGTCAACTCTGTTCAACTTTACTGTTACCTTACAGATAAAATGCCTACATTTCCATAACACAGAAACCCCCCAAACAAACTAAACTTGATATCGAAAATACCAATGGGACAGAAAAAAGTCCATTCACACCACTGGGCACCTGCCAAGTTCAAGCCACTGATGAGATCTTAAGTAGTGTTTGTTTTGTTGCTGTCAAAGGTTCAAATGGGGCGAGGGCAGTTTTGATGACCCCTGGCCCTCAGGTCCTTAGTGGGTGTTCTGCAAACACTCTGTACTGATGTGTGGATCAGGAGAGGACACTGCCACACACAGCACACAGCAGAAAAGACAGCAATGGAATAAAAAAAAAAAACAAGTGGAAAAAAAAGGAGAATTTGTGCAACTGTGTCTTTAAATGATAGTTTGACATACTCCACGAATGTCCACAACAAAAAGTAAAAGAGTAAAATTTTATTTATATTATTTTTTTTTAACTTTCATCTAGTGCGCCTTCTGTATCACGGCTCCATCACTACATGTTTACATTGGTCAACAGTGACTTTTGCGTTTACAGGTTTATAGCTGAAGATCACCAGCCATTCTAAAGATGTTTGGACATCAGTGCTCAAGTGAATAAGTTCACTAAGAGATATGTTTAATTATAAATAACAAAAATAGTTTATTACATGTGAATTACTGAGATAATAATATTCTCATGTTAACATCCATTGGGGATATTGGAAATCTGCTGTTAATGTATGTGTGTGTGTGCGTCTCTGTGTGTTTGTACTCAATATGTAGGCCAAGCAGGAAGTGACCCATAAACATATCCATCCAACTCTTTCATTGGGGGCCAGTATTACACTCATCTCCTCTGTATACACACACACACACACACACACACTTGCACAAAGCCCCCAGTGAGCACTAAGCAGGCCAGCGGGCCAGCCGAGGGGGCTCATTACAGGTCCACAGAGCCCCCCAACACAAAAGACTGAGCCGCTTTAGCCATGGGATGATCTGCTTTCTACTGACTAGAGAGTCCATAGACGGACAAAAGCGGCGAGGGAGGGAGGGGATGGGAGAGAAAGAGGTAGAGGAGAGCGGTGAGGAGAGGAGAGCCGTGGGCTTTAAGGATGCCAGGAGACTCCGAGAGAGAAAACCTGGCGGGCACTCAGAGAGCAGCGCAGGGAAGCAGGAGGAGGACGAGGAGGAGGAGGCTTAAGCTCCACGGCTACGTCAAGACATTAACATTCACACAACCACCCAACATCTGCTGCTTCCTACTTGGCCTCCATCTATCCCTCTTCCCATCCCCATCGTAGTCTGTCCACTAACAGAACCAGAAACAAAGGCTGCACGTGAGACAGTGAGAAGGACGTACTGAGACGGACAAGAAGGAATTCAAGAAGTCCAGCATAATGACCGACCAGTAATCTTAAAATATTATACCAGTACATTTAACTGCCAGGCTCTTCAGTCAGAGAGACAACCAGGACAAAGGAGCAGCTGAAAGCCAAGTTTGTCAGACTGCCTTATAAACTTTTACTGAGGCTCATTATTAGGACTATAATCCTAGTCAATCAAAGACCTGACAGGAGCAGCTCTGGACCTTCTGGTGAAGACAACCTTGGGCTGAGTCATAAAGCTGTTCTTTTAAAAGCCTTCAGGTCAGTAACAAAAAGCAGAGACATGTCCAGAGCAGTAAACTCTCCCTCCTCTGGCCCTGCTCCTGCTCCTGACTCCTGGACTAGTGTCTGCAGCCGTCTGTCCTGCTGCACTTAAAACCACATGCTACATTTTATAATGCCTGACTGTTATTAGTGCAGCATTAGCCTTGGGATGACGATGAGGTGAACTTGTGGAAGGAAATATGTTTGTGAAAGAATTTGTGAAAAATTCCAATTTTTACTACAATTACTTAGATCAATTTCTGTTGACTTTGACAAGTGATGAAGAAATTACAGTAGTTTAGTAGTTTTACAGTAGTTCTGTATAAACAAACATGAAATACTAGAGCTGTCAAACAATAACACTTTTTGATTTAACTAATCACATGGTATCTTGTGATTAATCATGATTAATAGTGATAGCGATAAAGCAACATTCCTAAATTGGACAAAAAACAATTTTTAACAACAATGTTAATCAGTCAGATTTACTCAACAATCCATTTGACTGTTGTGTCAGTCAGACTGTCAGTCTTATTAACTGTCCTCAACTCTATCAGGCTGCTCTGACACAAACTGGGTCACTGACCTAAGGTTGAAAACCCTAAGAAACACATGCTTAGAGTTGATGGTGGGATTTTAAGCTTGAGGTGAGCAGTGTGTGCAAATATTGAGGGTTCATTGACTGTATATAAGAACAATAAGTGAGCCAATCAGCAACCAACTTTCAAAATGCTAACACTGTATTTGCAAGAAAATGTATGGCTTGTTTTTTTGAATGTGAAAAAAACCTGTACATCACTGAGGCTTATATGATGCATTTGAAAACGTAACAATGGGGTGCGGCTTAATTCCCATGAAATACTGCAGTAATACAAAGACTTATGTCTTAATGCATCAGCATGAATTGCATTGCACTGAAGCAACAATAACATACTCACTTTCAGTGATTAATTTCTAATCACTGAGTTGGAGTGATGTTGGCTGGGCCGCAGTAAGGCTGAACCAGTCTGATGGGAGGTAAGTGTGTGGCTGCCGGGTGGTTTGTAGATGATATATAGATGCCTGCTTCTTTCATATATTTCCTGTGGTGAAATTAGAACCCTGTTCTGAAGTGCTGGGCCCTGCATATGTGTGTTCGTGTGTGTGTGCGTGACTGTAAACATGAAGACATCTTTCTGCACAGTCAATCTCTGCCTGTCACATCTGGCTCGCAACTCTACCCCTCGAATACACACTGGAATATATACACCGTGTGCACGGTGACATCTATGACTTATGTTCTGGGAGGAGTGTTTGAAATTAAGCTGCAGTGAATATGAGCCTAAGAGCGCAGCACAACAGCCTTCTGTGTGCGTGTGTGTGTGTTTCTCCAACATGTAAAAAGACGTAACATTTTAGTGACATCAAGGCCACTAACTGGTTTTAATACTGTGACTGATTGTTAAGTGCAGCTGTGCCCAGGGTTAGCGTTTGCTCTTTTAATAAGAATATCTGTCCATACTTCACTCGTGAACAAAGAGACTTCAGTCGACAGCCTAACTTTCTTCACCGCAGATGTGAGTGTTTACATGGGTTTTGAAATCTCAGGGTCGTTATCCATCTTGATTTGACTCTTGCTCATAATGTGAAAACTTCATCATCGTCACTGGACCAGAACAAACACATGAAGATGGTGAAGTGGGGCGATGGGAAAGGTCCCTAACATTTAACAGAATTAATTTACAAATTCAAATGTTAAACATTAAGTGCTGGATCCACATCCCAGCAGACAAAGTAGGACAGCAATCTACAGAGTGGGGGAATTATCACTAGTAGTACCTTCAGCTACAGGAAGTCACTGTTTTATAAATATATAAGGACAATGGGAATATCAATTCATCAAGAGGAAAAACAGATCAAACCTACCTGCAGCCTCCAGAACCATCTGCATTCGAACTTTAGCCTGTTCCTCTGGTGTCTGCAGAAGAGGGACACAAAAAAAGAAAAAGAAAATGAATAATCTATAATGATAATGCAGCCAGTCCAGACAGATCAGGAAACAGTTGATATTGTTAAACAAATTTAGATTCCAGCTCTGAACACACAGTTCTTGCTTATGTGTGTTAATTCTCACCTACTAATAGGAATAATATAATAGTATAAAAATAGTATAGTATAAATATAAACCACACTAGCAGAACATTTTAAATACTAAATTTACTAATAAAACAATACTAAAAATTAGTAATTCACTTTATACTCCTAGTATAAAACTTAGTGGTATTAGTGGTAGGAGTAGTTGTACTGCACATTATGAATGTTGCACTTTACATTGATAGTTTTAGGAAAAGTATGGCTCTTGCACTTTACTTTAGTACTGATTTAGTAATAGTAGTACTGCACGTCCTGGACTTCCTGACAGGATAAGCCACTTACAGCCTTCTATATGAAACCCAGCCTCAAGCCTGTTGCGTCTTTTAGTGTGAAATACAGAGTATTTGACTCATGATCATCTTTAATAGCCACCATTAGAGTGAATGTTCCCTCAAAGTGTCCTCAGGACGCACCAGGGGACAGCTTTGCCGAACTACTAGGAAAACAGAAAGCCACAACATTCTCCGACACACGAGGGAGAGTCAATGATGGAGAGACAGATGAAGAGAAATTTAAAGACAGAGGGAGAGAGAGTGTGTGTGAGAGAGTGAAGCGAGAGAGGGAAAACAAAGTCTGCTGTAACAAGTCTTTAGAGAGTTGGATAAGAGGGCACAGAGAGCACATTTCACAGAGATCACAGTCAGAAAGCGAAACACATTCCCAGTTTGGTCATGTGTGTGTCTGTGTGTGTGTGTGTTGTATGACAGAATCAAAAAAGTTTAGTGGCTGTCATCTGGGGAAGAGCCGTATGTTTTGACAGCTGTATTGGGAGGAGCAGTCCTTTTTTTCCTGTCGTTTCCTCAGAAGGGCCTCGCTGTAATTCCAATATCACTGCTATTAGATTTGAGGGTCTTAATTGTCAAGGAAGAATGATGGCTACAACCGGGCGTGGGGCTATAAAAGACGAGTACACTGCAGATTGCTCTCTGAGGTTTTTTTTTCTCTCTGCTGCCGTGGCACAGGAGCCCTTGTTACCATGCGGCAGCAGATCAGTGTAGGATTATGGAGAAATTAAATGCTAATGGGGATGGAATCTGAATCCGCTACCTGGGAGCATCATTTAGACGACAGGGCTAGAGTGTTGCTGACAGGCAGCGCTCCTTCCTCCTCCACCTCCTCATGTAACCTGGCCTGTGCACCCACGATGCCTTCATGTGGTGCCCAATCCCACCCACACTAAATAAAATCTATAAAACTACTTTTCCATTACTACTTATATGAACTACCGACCCACGAAAATTACAACAATAATAATACAAAAATGTTAACGTAATATTGTTGAAGTTGAAATCTGGATAAAAACACGGCCAGCCTACAGCTTTGTTGTCCAGTGTCCTATACATCTACCATGCCTGCCAGAATGCACATGTGAATGCACTTAATCACTTGTGGGTGGAACAGACACTGGGTCCTTAGCATTTAAAGGTAAAGGCACAGAGATACGGCTGTTAAACACATCATCTGACTTTCATTTCATTTTGAGCTGTTTTTGTGCATCTCAACACCTGGTGGTGTTGTATATGATACAGACTTCAATTAATGATAACACATGAAAAGATAATGGGGCTAGGGAGGAATCAAAAAACTGGATCACTGTGGTTGTTCTGTCTGTGAGGTTAGCTGCTGCAAACACAGGTTCTCCGTCACTCAGTGAATATGACTGTTGTTAAAGACAGTGGCGTTGTGGTTGATCAGTGTAATAATCTCTACCAGAAGCTGACATA